TTACTATTACTATTACTATTATTATTATTTTAAAAATTAATCAGTTTTAGTACCAGTGTAGTAAACCTAATTTTTCCACATTTATCGCAACACTTTATAGTGGGATCTCAGGAGTTGAGCAGACTTCAGGCAACAGATCCTTTTACTAGAAAAAAGAAGGATGTACAACCAAAAATTCTCTCATAGCAGTTTGCTAGTGATGAAAGCTGTTTCTTAGGATCCTGGTAAATTATAGACTACAGGGCAATCACAGGCTGGGTCACAACTGGACAAGGTCTTTGACAGTTCCAAGGAGATGGATATTCACACTTGGTACTGGATTACGTATAATCTCCAATCCCACTTTCCTAAATGATGGATAGTGATAAACTTGCTCCAAGCAAGGCTCTAGTAGCCTGCTCTAGTAGCAAACAGAAGTGATTTGGCTAACATCTACAAACAGTTTGACATACTTTATTTTCGGACATGTGGCAAGCATACATCTTGTTTTCTGTGTTTCGGGAGGAAACAGAGAATCCCATAACCATGCAAGAATGCATAGTCTTTCAAAGCACTTTTCTGTCCAAAACAGAAAGACCAAACAAGGTCAGGATTTTGAAAATAAACATATTACTACTATAACAACTAGTGAAGAAATTATCTGTCTGATTTCAAATTAGCACAGAGAAACATATAAAAGGCAAGCTCTTTTGCACAGTACTTCATTTTCTTTTGAGGAGTTAAATCCATTTTACTCAACTCTATTTTCCTCTGAGGAAAAAGCAGAAATTATTAAATCTGCCAATGGCAAAAGTTGCCACTATAATGACAAAGAGTCAAACAACAATGGTCAACTCACATACCTTTCCAAAGTTGTGATTTTAATTATATGCCTGCCTGAAGCACTAATTTCACTCTTGCATTTACAGAGGACGCTATGCTGAACTCATTTTAACCATACCACAACATGAAGATAGCTTTGTTACTCATAGGACATGAAACATGAATTAACAATGCAGTAACCATTTAGCGTGTCTACTTCCAGTCTGTCTTCTTCCTGCACTTGAATTTCTAGCCTTACGAGACTTTTTTTTGGTACAA